TTTTTTTAACTTTTGAGTTCTGTGATACATATGCCAGATGTACAGGTTTTTTACATAAGTAAACGTTTGCCATAGTTGGAGGTTTGCAGCGCAGATCAATCCATCACCTAGGTATTAAGCCCAGCATCTATTAGCTGTTCTTCTTCTGCTCTCCCTCCCCCTGCCGCTGCCCCAACAGGCTCCAGAGTGTGTTGTTGTCTGCTCCATGTGTTCTCAGCATTCAGCTCCCACTTATAAGTGAGAACATTCAGTGTTTGATTTTCCATTCCTGCATTAGTTTGCTGAGGATAATGGCTTCCAGGTCCATCTATGTCCCTGCAAAGGACATAATCTCATTTTTTATGGCTGCGTAGTATTCCAATATATGTACCTCATTTTCTTTATGCAGTCTATCACTGATGGATATTTAGGTTGATTCCATATCTTCTCTATTGTAAATAGTGATGCAATGAACATTTATAATAGAATAATTTATATTCCTTTGGGTATATACCCAGAAATGAGATTGTGAGTCAAATGGTATTTCTGCTTCTAGATCTTTGAGGAATCGCCACATTGTCTTCTACAATGGTTGAATTAATTTGCACTCCCACCAACACTGTAAAAATGTGCCTTTTTCTCCCCAACCTCACCAGCATCTGTTTTTTTTGACTTTTTAATAATCACCGTTCTGGCTGCTGCGAGATGGTATTTCATTGTGGTTTTGATTTGCATTTCTCTAATGATCAGTAAGATTGAGCTTTTTGTCATACGTTTTTGGCTGCATGAATATCTTCTTTGAGAATTGTCTGCGCATGTCCTTTGCGCACTTTTTAAAAGGGCTGGTTTTTTTCTTGTAAATTTAAGTTTCTTCTAGAAGCTGGATGTTTGATCTTTGTCAAATGAATAGATTGCAAATATCTTCTCTCAATCTGTAGGCTGTCTGTTCGCTCTGATGATAGTTTCTTTGGCTGTGAAGAAGCTCTTTAGTTTAATGAAGTCTCATTTGTCAATTTTTTTTGTTTCTGCTTTTGGAGATTTTGCTATAAAATCTTTGCTCATGCCTATGTCCTAAATGGTGTGGCCAGATTTTCTTCTAGGGTTTTTATAGTTTTGGGTTTTACATTTAAGTCTTTAATCTATCTTCAGTTAGTTTTTATATAAGGTGTAAGAAAGTGTTTCAGTTTCAATTTTCTGCGTACAGCTAGCGAGCACTCCCAGAAGGATTTACTAAATAGGGAATCCTTTCCCCGTTGTCGTATTTCTGAGTCCTCTGTTCTGTTGCATTGGTTTATGTGTCTGTTCTTGTACCAGGACTCTGCTGTTTTTGCTACTGTAGACTTGTAGTACAATTTGAAGTCAGGTAGCATGATGCTTCAATCTTTGTTCTTTATGCTTAGGATTGTCTTGGCTATTTGGGCTCTCTTTTTGTTTCATGTGATTTTTAAAATAGCTTTTTCTAATTCTGTGAAAGTTGTCAATGGTAGTTTAATAAGAATAGCATTAAATTTATAAATTTCTTTGGTCAGCATGGGCAGTTTTATGATATTGATTCTTCTTATTTATGAGCATAAAATATTTTTCCATTTGTTTGTGTCCTCTATGAATTCTTGAACAGTGGTTTGTAGTTCTCCTTGAAGAGGTTCTTCACTTTTCTTGTTAGCTCTATTTCTAGGTATTTTATGCTCTTCGTAGCAATTGTGAATGGGAGTTCGTTCATGATTTGGCTCTGCTTGTCTATTGTTGGTATATAGGAATGAATGCTAGTGATTTTGCACATTGAATTTGTGTCTGAGACTTTGCTGAAGTTGCATATCAACCTAAGAAGCTTTTGGGCAGAAATGATGGGGTTTTCTAGATTGAGGATCATGTAATCTGTGAACAAAGATAATATGACTTCCTCTCTTCCTGTTTGAATATGCTTTATTTCTTTTGTTTGCCTGATTGACCTACTCAGAAATTCAAATACTGTGTTCAATAGGAGCAGTGAGAGAGGGCATCCTTGTCTTGTGCAGGTTTTCCGTGGGAATGCTTCCTGCTTTTGCCCATTTTGTGTGATATTGGCTGTGGGTTTGTCATAAATGGCTCTTATTATTTTGAGGTGTATTCCTTCAATACCTAGTTCATTGAGAATTTTTAACGCAAAGAGAATTTTTAACTGAATTTTATTTTAGGCTATTTCTGAGTCTATTGAGATAATCATGTGACTTTGTCTTTAGTTCTGTTTATGTGCTGAATTGCGTTTCTTGATTTGCATATGTTAAACCAACCTTGCATCCTAGGGATGAAGCCAACATAATTGTGATGGATAAGCTTTTGATGTGCTGCTGGATTCAGTTTGCCAGCATTTTATCGAGGATTTTTGCTTCGATGTACAACAGGGACGTTGGCTTGGTTTTCTTTTTTTGTTGTATCTTTGCCAGGTTTTAGTATCAGGACAATGCTGGCCTCACAAAAGGAGTTAGGGAGGAGTCCCACCTTTTCAGTCTCTTGGAATGCTTTCATAAGAAGTGGTATCAGCTCTTCTTTGTACCTCTGGTAAAAATCATTTATGAATTTGTCTAGTCCTCGAATTTCGGTTGGTAGGTTTTTGTTAATGCCTCAGTTTCTGAAATCTTTATTGGTTTATTCAGGGATTCAACTTCTTCCTGGTTCAGTCTTGGGAGGGTGTATGTGTTCAGGAATTTATCCATTTTTTCCAGATTTTATGTTCATGTGCATAGAGGTGTTTTTAGTATTCTCTACTGGTTGTTTGCATTTCTGTGGGGTTGGTGGTGAATTCACTGACTTTTTGGAAGGGTTTTTGTGTCTCCATCTCCTTCAGTTCATCTCTGAACTTTGTTATTTCTTATTTTCTGCTAGCATTGGGATTGGTTTGCTCTTGGTTCTCTTGTTCCTTTAGTTGTGATGTTAGGTTGCTGATTTGAGATCTCTCTAGCTTTTTGATATGGGCATTTAATGTTAAAATTTCCCTCTTAACACTGCTTCAGCTGCATCCCAGAGATTCTGGTATGTTGTCTCTTTGCTCTTATTAGTCTCAAAGAACTTCTTGATTTCTGCCTTAATTTCATTATTTACCCAGGAGTCATTCAGGAGCAGGTTATTTAATTTCCATGTTGTGTGGTTTTGAGCAAGTTTCTTAATCTTGAGTTCTAATTTGATTGCATTGTGGTCTGACAGACTGATTGTTACAATTTCAGTTCTTTTGCATTTGCTGAAGAGTGTTTTACTTCCAATTATGTGATCAATTTTAGAGAAAGTGCTATGTGGTAATGAAAAGAATATATATTATATGATGACTATATAGTACATATAATACAAAAATATTTTATATATGACATAATTATATATTATTTATGTATTGTATTATTAAATATATATTGTTATACTATATATTATATACTATATATTACATTATATATTATATTATGTTTATATATTATATATTACATATAATTATAATTATATATTATATACAATATTCTATTTAATATATATAGTATATATATTCTCATCACCACATAACATTTTCTCTAAAACTGATCACATAATTGGAATTAAAACACTCCTCAGCAAATGCAAAAGAACTGAAAAGAACTGAAGAGAGTTCCAGAGATATCTATCCACTTGATCCAGAGCTTAGTTCATGTCCTGAGTATCTTTGTTGATTTTGTGTCTTGATGAACTGCCTAATATTGTTGGTAAATATTTCCATCAATATTGTCATCAATATTAGGCAGTTCATCAAGACACAAAATCAACAAAGATATTCAGGACCTGTAATACCTTTGTTAAAATCTCCCACTATTACTGTGGGGGAGACTGGCTCCTCGTAATTCTCTGAGAACTTGCTGTATGAAGCTGGGTGCTCCTGTACTGGGTGCATATGTATTTAAGATAGTTAGCTCTTCTTGCTGCATTGAACCCCTTGCCATTATGTAATGCCCTTCTTTGTCTTTTTTCACCTTTTTTGGTTTGAAGTTTGTTTTGTTAGAAACTAGGGGCCTGGTATGGTGACTCACTTCCAAAGTTACTTTGGGAAGCCAACGCGGGTGAATTACCTGAGGTCGGTAATTCAAGACCAGCCTGACCAACATGGAGAAACCCCATCTCTACTGAAAATACAGAATTAGCAGGGCATGGTGGTGCATGCCTGTAATATCAGCTACTTGGGAGGTTGAGGCGGGAGAATCTCTTGATCCTGGGATGCAGAGGTTGCAGTGAGCTGAGATCACACCATTACACTCCAGACTGAGCAACAAGAGTGAAAACTCCATCTCAAAAAAAAAAAAGAAAGAAAGAAAAAGAAACTAGGATTGTGACCTCTGCTTTTTTCTGTTTTCTATATGGTTGGTAAATTTTCCACCATCCCTTTATTTTGAGCATATATGTGTCTTTGCACATGAGATGGGTCTCTTGAAGATAGCATACTGATAGATCTTGACTCTATCCATCCTGCCCCACAGATAATCTTATGTGCATCAAATTATCAACACATTTTTTAATGAGTGAGTAAATGAATAATAATTATTTTAGATGGGAATTATTACTTTAATATTATGAATGAAGAAAATATAACTACAATATGTTAAAAATAAGGTTAGCCTTTCCACAGAAAAGTGAACAAAATAACAAGCTGGTAGGTTAAATTGTTCCAATAATAAACATTCCCTGAGCATATGACCTTATTCCACTTGAGAAATAAGGCAGCTATAAGACATTGATGATAAAAACAATACATTTTAAAGGAGGAATTTGATTCTAATTTCTTTTCTTTTAAGTCCACTTCCCAACCCACCACTAATATAACTTCAAGTAATTATGCAAAATTTTTATGCTTTTCTGAAAATCCAGGCACTGACTCACTGGTTTTAAGTGTGGACAAAAGAGAATTTCCATTCAATCTTGTCTTTAAAAATGTCTCTTGCAATGAAGCACTTTCAGAACAGCCCTATATTTTGCTGGTTTCTTGGTTCACTTATTTACTTAAGTAATATTTATTGCAAGCCGGGTCCCCTCCCCACAGCACCACGGCTTCTCTTCCTCAGCAAGGCGACAGGGGCTTCCCCTTTAGCCGCCGCTGCCGGCTAAGCTCCGCAGCGCCCGCGGCCCGCGGCCGCCATGCAGTTTATGCTGCTTTTTAGTCGTCAGGGAAAGCTTCGACTGCAAAAATGGTATGTCCCATTATCAGACAAAGAGAAGAAAAAGATCACCAGAGAACTTGTTCAGACCGTTTTAGCACTGAAACCTAAAATTTGCAGCTTCCTTGAGTGGCGAGATCTGAACATTGTTTACAAAAGATATGCAAGTCTGTATTTTTGCTGTGCTATTGAGGATCAGGACAATGAACTAATTACTCTGGAAATAATTCATCATTATGTGGAATTACTTGACAAGTATTTTGGCAGTGTCTGTGAACTAGATATCATCTTTAATTTTGAGAAGGATTATTTTATTTTGGATGAGTTTTTTTTGGGAGGGGAAGTTCAGGAAACATCCAAGAAAAATGTCCTTAAAGCAATTGAGCAGGCCGATCTACTGCAGGAGCCACGTCATGAATATTTTAATGTCCCTGTGTACTAAATGACTACCCATCGAGTATGCAGAATTTCACAGAGGAAATAGAATGCTGATATACATATGAAAGAAAATATCCTCAGCATGGTGATTTATTATCTTGTATAATTATAGTAGAATATTTTAGAACTAGTACTTTTATTATTGCATTTTTTTCCTGTCCACATTCCAAACTTTTCTGTTTTATTTTCTTTCTATACGTGATCTTGATACAGCTCATTCCTCTCTGAAACTGATTTTATTTCATCTTGATAAAATATGACCTAGAAGTTTTTTGAGTAATATAAAATTTTAAACACATACATATCGTTAATGAACCACCTATGATTAATCTTACAAGAGGAAAATATGACAATTGTTAAAATATTTACCAAAGAAAATATAGCTGAAGTGCTAGGTTGAAATGAGCAGTACCGTAATACACAGTATGGTTTGGTCTTCAAATATTGAGGTTAAAAAAAGAAACTATTTTGTGTGATTATCTTACAATCTATATGAGCTAATGGGTTCTAAAGCATCACATAAAAGTATATGTGAAAATAATACAAGAAACTAAAATTAATTCATGCTATTATATATTTAAGGCTAAAACATTCAGTCTGAGGAAATTTTGTAGTGCCACATTTATTGAATCACACTTGTGCTATATAATATCAAACAATCCCTTTAAGAACTTATTAGAGAGCTATGTCTGAAAAGTCTGTTCTGCAATATCTGTTGCTTAACAAAAACTCTTTCAAAGCATTAATCCTGAGTTTATATAGTTCAAAAATTCTAATATTCAGTTTTAATACCTAAATATTTATATTTTACTAGTGATGGCATTCTAATATATTAAGTCCTTATTTAAATACTTAATGCTTTGTTAACTGTGGCATTATATTTCTGAATTTTAAAACCTTTAATATTAATAACTATTGCATATTATCTTAATAAAACATGCTGCATACTTTATTACAAAAAGAAAACAACTCATTGTTTATATCTAGAGAGCATAAAGCCTGAGTTAAGTAACTTATTAAACAATAACTTCACAAGATGTTCAAACTGATTTACCACTGAAAGAAGCTGTAAGAAAATGTATTTTGACCACACTTAGCATTAGGCAGGTATACAGATAAGATTTTCCATTCTTAACATTCTCACTGTAATGCACTACATTTGAAGCACCTGGATGTGCTATCAAATGGGAAATTTAGCACTGTACATTGGAAGCATTGAAACACATTGGTCTTTCATTTCCATTTTCCCTCTCCATTCCTCCTCCTGCCCCACAATATGTTATTCATCTGGTTTTAACGCTACATAACTATGCATTGTCTCATGCCTGTTTGTGTTGGATGCCTTGGGCTAAGCTGTAACAAAATGTTGCTTCTTTGGCTATCTGTATACACCTGCTTGCTTTACATTAGTAGATTCTGAAATAGCTTTCCTCGCATGTCTAAAATAGAAGTATTGCATGTAAAAAAGAAGAAATATTTATTGCATCTTGACTATAAGATGGACATTGTTTTTGAGAGCAGGATTACTAATGATGGACAATCCAGATTTGTTCTTTTACCAGTGCAGATTTATAATCTTGTGAGATATAAAAACAAGCAAGCAACAAAAACATATAAACATAAAAATTCCAGATTTTTATAAATACTATAAAAAGAATAAACAGAATATTGATATCAAGAATAAAGGTGGTGAGAAATTTTTGAAATCGTTGAGCAATTTTAAAATTTTTACATTGGAGAGTAGTATAGAGTCCAAAGCAGACTTACCAATAAATGGAAGCAGCATGCCAAAGGATTTGAGTCAGAATGAATTTGGAGTGTACTGTAAAGGAAAATGTAATCACCTAATACGTAGCAGTGAGAGGGGAGGATGATAGAGGCTGCAGGTAGGATGGAAAACTGGGAAGATTATGGCAAGCTCTGTTTACTTGGTGTGGAATTTGGAGTTGATAGTAAGTGCAATAGTGAACCAATGAGGAAATTTATGCAGGAGAGTGGACAATTGAGATGAATCTATTGAAAAGATCATGTTTGCTGCTAAAAGTATGTGAGCAAGAATGAAAGCACAAGAACAGTTAAGAGGTTACTACAGTAGCACAGATGACAGGTGACAGAAGCCAGATCAGAAGGTCTGCACATGTGTTTAATGGCCCGAACACTGTATACCTGAGCAGGTGGCCTTACACTAGGCTCTGGGCAAAAGCAAAATGGAATCGAATTATTTCTCCATTGTCCCTGCACCTCAATTTTTCTTAAGCTAAACTTGGTCCTAACATAATAGACTAAAAAGAAAACTTGGTACAGCATTAGCCACATGAAATGGAAAAAGGAAATGAAACAAGTATTTATAGGGATTGTTTTAGGTGGGGGCTGTGAGTGGCTTTTGTTCTTTCATTACATGTCTCTGTGATGTCCACATTTTCTATGTTCTTTTAAAATTAGGCATTTTTTTCTGGGAAATAGAGACAGTTTTATTTTTACTCAACCAACGTGAATTTGGAGATTTTGACCGATTCATTTCAGCTCTCTATGTATTACTTTCTTTTGTACAACAAAAAGAATTAGGATCCATGACCTTTGATATCACTCCATGAGTCTCTGTGTTGCTTTGCATCATGTAAGCATGGGAATGTTAAATAAACACCGTAATCTTTTAAATCCCCTCTGGGACATTATCACTTTTTTTTTCAACTTAAGCAGGCATTTTTAATTTAAAAAAATTTTTTTAATTGTACTTTAGATTCTGGGGTACATAGGCAGATCATGCAGGATTGTTACATAGGTACATACACGGCAATGTGGTTTGCTGCCTCCATCCCTCCGTCACCTATATCTGGCATTTCTTCCCATAGTATCCCTTCCCAACCTCCTCACGCCCTGCTACCCCTCCCCTAGCCCCCCCAACAGACCCCAGTGTGTGATGCTCCCCTCCCTGTGTTCATGTGTTCTCATTGTTAACACCCGCCTATGAGTGAGAACATGCAGTGTTTGATTATCACATTTTAAAATTTGTTCAAAAGAAAAAGATTTTCTTTGCTCTCTCAATGTTGCAGGTCTATGATTTGCTACCAGTAAAGAGTTCTTCACATACCTTTAGAGTTGGAATTCCTGGGGTTGACTATGGTGAAGATTGTCTCGATGAAAAAGGCATAACTCTTAAGAGAACGTTTCGCGTAACAGAGCGGGTCCTGGATTGGTATGAACTTTACAGTATCTTCAAGGTAATTCTTTTTCCTAAAAACATAACAAAAATGGATTTCTATGCCTCTGTTAAGGTGGAGAAACAATGGGGTCTAAGCTCTAGGATTTTTTCTTTCCTCCCTCCAACAAAGCAATCAGTAACAGAAAAATATAGGAATCTCAGAGACAGAGAGCTTTGTGGACACACAGATGTTCACACATGAATTTCTCTACCACTTTAAACAGCAGGTGGTTTACTTTTAGGCTGCAAACCTTCACCAAATGGATCCCAAAGCTACTTACTACCATCATATTGCCCTCTTAGTGACTCGGGGATTCCAATATGTGAGAAAACCAAAACAAAATATTTTCCATATGTCAGACACATGTCTGACACCCTTGGAAAGGTGAGCACCATGCTGGTGACCATCATTTCAGCATTTGCACAAAAAACACTTGTTGAACGAATTCGGGATTGAATGCATAAAGTGCAAAACTTTAGTCCTCACAGGGCAATAAAATTCCAGGAAAACTTAAAGTTTTCTTTCATTAAAAAAAGATTAACCACTTTGGGAGGCCAAGACGGGTGGATCATGAGGTCAAGAGATCGAGACCATCCTGGTCAACATGGTGAAACCCCATCTCTGCTGAAGGTGCAAGGAATTAGCTGGGCATGGTGGTGCATGCCTGTAGTCCCCGCTGCTCAGGAGGCTGAGGCAGGAGAATTGCCTGAACCCAGGAGGCGGAGGTTGCAGTGAGCCGAGATCGTGCCATTGCACTCCAGCCTGGGTAACAAGAGCGAAACTCCATCTCAAAAAAAAAAAAAGATTAACGAAACTTGTATTAGAAATGTTAGAATGTCTTAAAAATGTAATTCTCTAGTATTAACTATAACTGGTGAGAATTATCCAGGTTATGAAATTAAATCTTATCACTATCAAACAGCACTAAGAACTTTTTTCATACCTTCAGAAAGACAGATCATTCATCTGATAGAGGTCTACAGCTTAGCTGAAAGCAATTTAAATCTCTCCTTCTGGACCTTCCAGAAACGTAAATTGGGTGGTAGAAGGATGGAAAGAACACTTCTTAGTTTATTAACTAGCTGTTTCATCACTGAACATTTATTTCTGGTTTATTTCTTTAATCGGGTGGTAGAAGGATGGAAAGAACACTTCTTACTTTAACTAGCTGTTTTATCACTGAACATTTATTTCTGGTTTATTTCTTTCTGTTGTGTATCACAACCCCCCTGACAACTATGCTCAAGAGTCCCACAGTTTCCCAAATACTCTGAGATAAAATAGCGAATAATATTTATCTGTGACTAATACTGAAGAAGAGGGAAGATGGAAACCGGTGGACTCTAGACAACTGGGGGCATCTGAACATGGGCTTTAGATGCAGGCATCTGAGACAATTAAAAGAAACTGAGAAAAAAGAGGAAAGGACCACAGGAATGAGTGGAGTGTAGACATTCAGGAAAAGCCATATCTTCTGATAAAACATAAACAAAACAGAGTTTACGAAGACTGAAAAGAATGACCTCCAATATGCAAGACTTCAATTTAAAATAACAAGAAACAAGCAAAAAATACTCTCTTGTAATAAAAGCTTAAGGAGAGCTCTGTGTATGCATACATAGACACAGGTACCTGTTTCATAGAGGAAAAAAAGAGAAGGAAACATCTAAGTCTAAGATACTCAGTTTTATGGAGGCAAAAAAAGTAATTAAGGAGTATTAAGTATACCAGACAATATTTAGCAATAAGAATCAGAAATGGGTTTGAATTCCAAATCCTATTCACACACTAGCTCAATGAACGTGACCCTCTATGACTTTTTATAAATAGCTCTCCTCATTATGTGTAATTGTCAAATTTATAAATAGCTCTCCTCATGTATAGTTTTCATAATGTGCCTATA